TGAAAAGGAAGAAAAATGAACTGGTGCAAAAGTTCAGTCAAAAAGAACAGGTCTAAGATCGGAATCAGACTACGCATTGAAGATTGAGATCGAAGATTGAAGATTGAAATTTGACCAATGAGGGCAAAAGAATTTTAGCTCCTATTGTTTTGATTGGTCAAATTTCAATCTTCAATCTCAATCTTCAATGCCTAGTCTGAGGCCGGAATCAGACTACGCATTGAAGATTGAAGGTTGAAGATTGAAGATTGAAATTTGACCAATAAGGATAAAGAAATTTTAGCTCCTTTCATTTCGATTGGTCAAATTTGAATTTTTCAATCTTCAATCTCAATCTTCAATGCGTAGTCTGATTCCGGCCTGATTCCGGCCTAAGAGGAATAGGGTACATTTTCACGAACCACTTAAACTGATCATTTCAAAAAAGGATATCACGATCAAAATTGACGAATGGCTGCGGTCAGAAGAAGCAGCTTCGCAACTGTGTAAAATTCTTTAATTGGTTTATATATTTAATCCAGTGAGGAACTATGAGAAAGACCAATCATATTAAAGAATTTTACAACATGCGCTTGGTGTCACGTGACTACGTCCATTGATATTGAAATAAATAGATAATTAACGGATAGTTTATAATTTTACTTTCTTGTTAAAAAAATAGAAAATTATAATTATATTGCGACCGAATTGATAACGTCAATAGAAGATTAAATTATAACATCTTTAAATATATTATCTTTCTTTGCAATAATTATTGTCTATTCAGACTAAAGCTCTATATTACTAAAGTAGCGTATAATGGTATGATAGAGTCGGTAGTCTGATACGGGCTTTAGGGTCACTGTCACCAAAGCTCAATTAACTTAACTGGGCCAATTAATCGATCGGAATTGACCAATCTGTCAATTCTTCAAACAAAATGACAAATGCGATTGGTCAATTCCGATGGACTAACTGGCCTAGTTAGATCAACTGAGCTGGGTGACAGTGGCCCTAATTCGTGACGCGAACGGACGACGCGACGCGTGACGCGCACAGTAGAAACGTACCATTAGTCCGCTATATCGGACCTATTAATTTTATCATATATCAATAATACTAAGCAATACTAAGCGCTTATTGGACTACAGACAATTAGGGCCACAATGGCGGTCGAAATAGCCAATAGGACAGTTGTCGGTATTTCGGCTCAGATCAAAGAAATGCACTACTTTGGTATATCTAGAGCTTTAATGCTTAATTCATACTGGACGCAGCTAGAGACCTATGACGTTTTCGGCTCGACCGGGGTTGCACCAACCTGGGTTGGATTAATCTTTCCTATTGGTTGACTTTACACGTTCTACCAATAGGAGAGCACAAAACGCCATTAATCCAATCCAGGTTGGTGCAAACCTGGCCGAGTCGAAAACGCTACTAGATAACAGAAATGCGTTATTGCGTCGGTTGGGCTAAGTAATCACCGCCATTTTAATTCAATATAAGTGCTCCTAACCTTATAAGCTGATGACAGTTGATGCAAAAGGTAGAGAAGATTAAATTGCTAGAAAAAGAAAAAAGTATTTCCTAAATAAAATTACTATATTTTTCTCGTTTTATTGTTGTTTTTATTTTTTTTAATAATAATAATTTTGCTATAATACAGGGTGTTTCCAAATTAAATGGCAAAACTTCGGGAGCGTGTAGAGGAGTAAAAAACTAAGAAAAAAAGTCCTATAGACATATGCTCGTTTTTGCTCCGTTTCAGAGAAATCGAAAAAAAATGTTTACATTTCTTGCCATATCTAGCACCGACATATTTGATTACATTTTCCACTTTCTGTTATGAATTTGTCAGTCGCTCTTTGAAAGCCTTTAACAGTAGATGAATTTTGTCTTTTGCAATATGCCGCGTACGTATTCTAATAGTGAATATGCTGATATGGTTTTTGTATACGGTTTCTGCAACGGTAATGCTTTAAAGGCGGTGCGAGAATATGCACGACGATTTCCAAACAGAAGAGTGCCAAACCGAAGAGTGTTTATGTTGACATTTAATAGATTGCGAGAGACTGGAACATTTTCAATTCGACAAGAAAACAACCGATTTCAAGCAGCGTTACGAAGAGATTTGCAGGCAGGGAATCGTATTTTACAACATTTTGACAATCATCCTGAGACCAGCGTTCGGAATGCGTCGGCTGTATTGGGAGTGTCACCACAAACAATTTGGCGAACTGTAAAAGGAGATAATCGCTATCCCTACCACATTCAAAAAGTGCAAAATTTATTACCTCAAGATCATTGGAACAGATTGAACTTTTGTAACTGGTACCTTCAGACATGCCACAATGATATTTTATTTCCATCTAAAATAATGTGGTCAGATGAGGCAACATTTACCAGAGGTGGAATAATTAATCAAAGGAATTATGGGCTCATCAAAATCCCAGGTCTGTTAGAGAATACAAATTTCAGCAAGAGTTTTCTGTTAATGTCTGGCTTGGAATTTGGAACGACGTTTTAGTGGGACCGTTTTTTTTACCTGCAAGATTAAATGGGGACCGTTTTCTAAATTTCTTGGAGAATGAATTTTCTGACTATTTAGAAAACATCCCATTACAACAACGTACTGAAATGTGGTTTCAATTAGATGGATGCCCTGCTCATTACAGCAGAGTCGCTAGAACCTGGTTAGATAGAAAATTCCCACAACGATGGATTGGACGTGGAGGAGCAGTACATTGGGCAACTCGTTCGCCCGACTTAACGCCATTAGATTTCTATGCATGGGGTACTCTGAAGCAAGAAGTTTATTCTTCGCCTATTCAATCAGAGCAACATTTGAGAAATCGTATCGTAGCTGCAGCGAACAGAATATCGCAAGAACAGTGCCTGGCTGCTACAAGAGCCGTGTTTGACAGATGCAATGCTTGTATTGCTGCAAGAGGTGCACATTTCGAACAAAATCTTCATTAAAAAGTTTATAAATAAAATAATTAAAATAATAAATTAAATATATTTTTTTCTTTTTTCGTGATTTCCTGCGAAACAAAGCAAAAAGGAGCATATGTCTATAGGACTTTTTTTCTTAGTTTTTTACTCCTCTACACGCTCCCGAAGTTTTGCCATTTAATTTGGAAACACCCTGTATAATATAATAATAATAATACATTTCGACACTGTATTATCTTAATTTTTCTCTATATTTATGTATGTACATACGTTATAAAACTATATCTATATTGATGCATTAGATGCAATAGAGAATAAAATGGCGCTCTGATCACGTGATTTAGACAGCCAATCAGACCATACCCTTCAATAACGCATCTTAGGTGCGTTCAGAGCGACGCTTTTAGCGCTATTGGCTGCGTTCAGCAGAACGTTTGTTTTGCAACTGTTGGAAGTTTCCTTCGCGCTAATTGGATCATACTTTTAGATCTAGAAGAATGGTCCTATCTCAGCAGACAATCATAAAACGGTTGCAAAACTGTTGAGTCTGCTGAACGCAGCCATTGTGTCATTCTATCCTTGTTTTACGTTTAATAAACAACGAAGATAGAATGACAGATTAGCGCTATTAGCGTCTACCCGAACGCACCACTTGTTATCTAGAGGTTTGTTCGCGTCGCAAGCTCCAACATGCTCCTACCATAACTCCTACTCACTCTATCAAGCGCATTGGAGTAAGAGCTATGGTAGGAGCATATTGAAACATGTTGGAGCATGCGACGCGAACAAACCTTAGGTCTCTAGTTGCGTCCAGTCTGAACTAGGCATATCTCTTTTAAAATGTGTCTCTTTTAAACATTTGGTTTCTTAGTAACCGATGAACAAAAAAATAAGATCACTAATATTTATTTTTGTCAAACCTAAATGTTAGCAAAGTTGAACGAAGTTTTATTAATCCAAGGAATAAATCAGGAATTTCGAAAATGTTTAAATGGAATGTGCACAAGGTAATGCAATATATAACTCAGAATTTTTTAATCCATTAAGGACCACTGGTCGATTTTTCCAAAAAAATACTTTGGGATGCGAAATTTTTAGCAAGTAGGCTCCTTAAGAACATTATAGTAGCTTGCCATTAAAAGGATTTTAAATTTTGAAAAAAAAATTTATCTTGGTCTTTAATGGGTTAGTAACATGTTAAATATTATAATTAATTGTTAGTATATACCATTGCCGTATAAAAAGAACCGTAATTGTTACCGTAGCTTATTATCGTAAATTATTGTATTATTGGGTTAATGTGTAAAAATGTGTATCTGTTAATAATAAAATAAACTTAGAAACTTATAATCATATAGTTTTTTGAAATATTTTTCTATTATAATTAAAATTATATTTTTTCTATAAAATTTCTCAAAAGCTCTTATTACATAAAACAAAACTTGATAGAAACAGAAGGAACAAATTGTGCCAACTTAAAGAATAAACGTAGAATATTGAATTTTGAGAAAATATTAAGAAAATTTTAACTTTCAATTTAGATACGTATGTACAATGCTCTATTATCACAAAGATTATTTGGCACAAACCAATCTCTTGTAGAGTGCAAGGAATTCCAGAAATTTAAATTGAAGCAGACAAAGATGCAGGTATATTCATAATTTGAAACAATCTTTAAAACTTGACTTAAGAATTGTATCAAAAAATCAATATTAACGCATCGTAAATTTCTAGTGTGATGATGGGCTTCCAGTCTATTTAAAAGGTGGCATACGCGATAAAATTGTGTTTTACACTTTATCAAGTGTGATCTTTTTTAACACGATACTATCATTATACACACTTGTTCAATTAGAATATCATGATTATATGCCAAAGAGATCATAAAGAGTTCTCCTTTTTAATAGATCATGTTGAAACTTCTTCTCTAAAAGTTCAGATATTGTATTTAATATAATCGAATTTGTAAATTAGAATATCTAATAATTTCATTTTATGTAAAACATCAATACATCTGGTATATTACGCACACATACAAACATATACACGCGACTACATGTAATTACATACTTTTATGTTCTCAATATTGTTTTTAACTTTAGAGATTTAATAAGATACTCTATATTATTATGATATTCTACAAATGTTGAATGGAAATTATTCATCAGTCTGTTAATTATTGTATGATTAATTTCGCGGAACATAGAAATTTATAATTCAATTCACTCTAAATTCATTTAACATATTTGCTACAAGCATGATGTGACATAATCAGCTATATATTTAAGCAATACTAAATGCAAAAATTGTAAAAAGACAACAGTGCAACTCATACTATAATTTAATGTTTACAACTTATGGACATGTTTATGTCCATAATTGTAATTTCAAATATGTATAATGAATAAAAATATAATTACAAATAAAGTCAAAAACAGCTATAAAATATATCCTTATTGTAATTATACATGTATTAGTATATTTTGACGTATTTGCGTAATTTTGCCTTCAATAATGATTTAAATCACATCCATGATATAAATATATGAAAAATTATATATCATTTCTGATTTCTCTATTGCATGTAGGAAAGCCAATTTTGTACTTTCTATATTGATATTAAGCGAACATATATTAAAAATACAATATCTTATGATATCACAGAAAAACATATTTACATTATGTTACAATATTACACTTTCTTTTTGCCAGTAACACTTACTAAAGTTACTTAGAAACATTATTAAATAAAGTTTCTTATAACTCATTCTCTACTTTTCTATAAGTTTTCTTTTCTATTGATATTTATAATATTTACATTGGATTTCTCTGATTTTCTTTGATTTTCTGATATATAAGTATCTTTATTATCGTGCAAATTGGCTGCATGTTCTTTTGATAAAGATTTTTTTCTTTGTTGTATTAGAGTTTTCAGAGCTTCGTTAAATTGCAGCAATGTTTCAGCGATTGGCCGTTCCATATATCTAGCTGCAATTTCGTCGAATTGATCATCCTCCTCTGAAGTTAATTCATGTTTAATGTATTTAAATTGATCTATTATTTCCTTAAGACTCTCTCTAGCATCTTTTACTGGATCATCATTTTCTGCAGAATCCATTTCCGTAGGCGAATCGCTCTCAATATAATTTGCATTACTCACATCGTTTGTTGATACCATTGTATCATCATGTATGAAATTTTTTTCAAATTCTTTAAACTGATTTATTATGTTCCTTATACTTTCTCTTACATTCATTAATTTAGGTATTTTAATTCTCTCTTCCTTATTCTCTTCCTCTGCAATTTTTGCCTCAGGGAATTCTGTATCAACTTTATGTCGTGACTTTACAATCTTTTTTGCATTTGTTTTTACATCTACAATTTCGTTCTCTTCTTCTGTTATATCTTCAGATTGTTCTAAATTATTTAATTTTATTACCTTCATTTTATCTTTCTTTTGTAAAACTAATTTCTGTTTACTAATTGTACGTTCATCATCTTTTACATGTTTCTTAAGTTCTTCTCCCGTTATTGCTGATTTATCTATAAAAATTGGTGGTTCTTTTAATTCCTGTTTCAATATTTCTATTCTTTTTAACATCTGTGTTACTCCTTTCTTTTTCATTGATTTCATTGGAAGATCTACATTTTTTCGTTCATCATTAACCTCTCTCCTTTGTTTAGCTTCTAGCATTTTTTCTTGAATTATTTTTTTTATACTTTCTTTAATACCTTGAGTTTCCTGACGTAGATTTACATCTTCTTTGGATTTTCCCTTAATATTTTCTTCAATTTTTGTTTTTTTATCAAATTCCACATCACTGATATCTGAAACATCATTGAAATCATCTTGAGAATCAATATTTTCTTCGTTTTTATCTCTCGAATCCGACGATAATTTATTTATTCTTTCACTTTCCCATGTGGTAGTATTTTCCATAGATATATTATCATCTGCCAAATCAAGTATTTCTACTTCTTTTTTCATTGCATCATTTCCTTTTTTAGTCTCTTCAAATTCGACATCTGAAAAATTTTGTTCAACAGTTTCTTTTGCCTCTTCAAGTTCTTCTAATGAGTCTACAACTTTATTAACTATTTCTTCTTTAAAAGACATGTTTAGTTTTACATCTTTTATATCATCTACCTGGTCTGTAAAATATTTCACAGAAGTTTGTGAACTTGCTTTATTAGTATCATACGTGATATTCGATTTTCTTTTCATAATAAATATGCTGGGCTTTGTTTTAATTCTAACAGGTGGTAACATATTATAATTTAATGTTATATGAGAAAATCCATCGATAGAATCAATAATATCGTAAGTTTTAAGATAAGGCTTTATATTTGGTGAAAATTGGTTTCTTCCTTCTATCAAGAGATGAGTAAATTGTAGCATTTCAGGATCATCAATAGTAAGGTTTTCTTGTTTTGAGTAACTGTAACATAATGAATAATTTTGCTATTAAAAAATATCATAATAGGGATATTAGTGGAGGAGTTAAGCAAAGTAACTTACATCCAAGAAGCATTTGTCTGTGTAAATCTTGATACTCCGGTTTGTGCAGTTAACACATCAATATGCACATGTATTGGCTCGATAGAGCCTCTCTCAAGTCTGTGTAATCTAGCAATTGCCACACCTCCAGAGTAATTGAAACTGGCCACACACAGTAGAAACATGGAGAATATAGCATTTAATACAAGATGACCCAAGACTGCTATCGCTAGAAAACTATTCCACGTCGTTTTTGCTCTATTTTCCCATCTAATTTTGAACAGGAAACAATTTTTTAATTATTACATTACATTATATATGTGTGGCTACAAAGATTTACAATCTAAAGCTTAATTCTCTATCAGTGGCAATCTGATCTCTATAACTGTGTTAATTTTAGACTATGTTATTGACAAAAAATATATACATTTATTTTAATAATTATTTATTTATTTATATTTATTTAAACTTATATATAATTATTAAAAGAAAGATATCACCATTTCTCTCTTATATTTTTACTTTAAGAGCAAAAAAACATGTTAATAATTGTAATTTCGTAATTCTTAGAATTAAAATATGTTTGAAAAAATCATGTTGGTAAATTAGAATGGAGTTACTGAAAAAATAATTAATTCGAATAAAATATGTATACTTACATTCTGTGGCAAGCAGCAGCTGCGGCAACATTCAACAATGGGAATACATATATTATAAATCTTAATTCCTTATGTGGTAAAAACGAAAATAATATAACGAATAGAATAGCTGGAACAGTAAGTACGCGAACTCTAATATCCAAGAACATCCCAAGAGGAATTAGAAAATATGAAAATGCTAGACCTCTTGGCAGGGCTGAATAGAAGTACCATAAAAATGGTGATGTCTATTTATACGTTAAGTACCGATATACAAATTAAAAAATTACAAATACATATTTAAAGATCTTTAACAAACGAAATATCTCAATAATCGAAAGTGTCTTTTTCAGAACTTATGAGTTATCGCATACTATGATCTGAGATTTGAATAAGCACTAGTCTAGTAATGTGACGTGACAGATCAAAAACAATTTTTTCTGACATTACACAATCTAAGATTATCATCGGAAATATTGAAAATTCTTAACGAAAAACCTTATTATTATATCTGAAAAGGATACACCCCATTCACTGCTTTTATTAAGAATAGTGTTGAAATAAAACACTTCGCCTTCTGGCCATACTAAGCGTCTCCAGAATATTGAATCTGTAGCAATAGTAAGTGCTAAGAACAATACACCAGCTGGAACCGCAATTTTAAGTAGTCTAAAAATTATTATAAAACATTATTGTGTAATAAGCAAAATAATTTGGAAAGAATATTATATAGAAGATTAAATATTTTTTTAATGGTCTAAAATTGAATCGGGCTTGTGTCTCAATGAAATCCAAGAAATTTTCATGGTAATGTATTCAATACATATAACAATTAGAGATTTGACTTGAAAGCTTACAAATATTTGCAGTTTTGCAGAAGACCCCATGATGATTTTAATTTCTGTTTGTAATCTTACAGCCATATTAGGAATCAATGGTCCATGACATAATATGTAAATACCTTTGTACAGAAAGTGTCTGGCTCGCTATATTGTGTAAAAGGAACAATCCCAAAAGTATGGCAAGTTCTGCTCTGAATATTATTATCGCTGCAGCCGATGACCAAATAAACAACACATGACTTTTCCTCAACCATCCAAATAAGGCCAGTAGTACTACAATATTGTAATCATTAATTAAAAAGAAAAAGAATATGTGAAATTACACACCGATCATTTGCTACATCATATTTTGAAATATAATTTTAGTGTAATAACTAATTACAAGAAGAATAAAAATATGTTCTCTTTTAAAGTACGATCTTTTTTTCCTTTATATTTTCATTCTTCTTCTGTAAGCAACTCGAAATGACAATTTTTTTAGTTATACCATTGTTGTAGCAAATGAACAATATGAATCAAGCGTTTTAATATGATAAAGAAATATTAAAAAATTAATAAAGATGTATACATATACATAAAATATATTTTACTTTATTACCTAAAGGCATAACCATTGTGTTTGGCAGTGGACGACTAAGATAGTACATAAAATGATACTGTGTCACAGTTATGGCCACGAACCATTTTGTAAACTGCACCCCAAAGATTTTTTGTAAAGTTTGTCTATATAACTTGAACGTAAATATTACCAACAGTCCCAATGTTGCTCTAACTAAAAAAATAATTAAGTTTTTTATTCTACAAAAAATATGTATGATTATTATATTTTACAATTAATGAGCTTACCTATATACTGAGCAAAAAATTTATTGAATTTTAAGTAATTAATACATGCCACCAATGGTGAAGCAAGACCAGATATGATAATAGGTCCCAAAAAGGAACGTGGCACAACTCCAGGAAATTCATGGTGATCATACTATTGGAAAAGAAATACCAAAAATATATTATAACAATAAGAACAATAATATCCACTTAGTAAATTCATAAATTAATATGGCCAATCAAAAAATTAACTGAAATTAATATAGTTATAAAAGCAATCAAAACTTGTGTTTCCATTTTTTTAAATGAAATGTCTACTTTAAATATCTATTTTAAATATCTACTTCGATATACTCTACTAGTAGTAAATTTCAAATTAGACATTGCATATTCACTTATCCTAATTAAAACATTGTTTCAATTCAAAACGTTCAAATTACTCTATTGAAAAATTGTTAATTTTGAGAAATGTATCACTTTTCTATCAAAGCAGCAAAACATTTGCCAGAAATGTCAGCAAAAAAAATAATAAGATTCGAGTAAAGAATAAAAAAATACGAAATTGTCCGCTAATGCATTAAATGAACTCGAAGCGGCATCAGCTGATCGCGAGTTTATAAATACGCGTGTCTGGTACTAAATATAATACGGCACTTTTTGTGTGCTGGCTGTCTGATCACAATCAATCGACCGGGGTGGACAATAATCGTTGAATGACCCCAGGTCCTCGGGTTGGACGATCTAATGATCCGTTTAATGTTTCAGTCGTTACCTCCGTTAAATTGAAGCCATGATAAAGAACATCGTGCATCGCCTGCAGATTGAAACTCTCCTCGACTTTCGTAAATGGGCAGTATAGCAGATGAACCACCGACACCAAGATAATCAACTGATCCATGATCACCTCGTTGTGCGTTCACGCAAAGTATACGTTGCCACTTGACGAACTCTTGGATCTTATCATGATATAAATTCAACGTATCGACACAAAGGACAATTTTTTCTTTCGTCCAAACGCACCGCGTGTCACCGCGACGTTATTACATTACATGGCAAGTACCACGTATATAATAGACCTGTTCTTTTTGACTGAACTTTTGCACCAGTTCATCTTTCTTCCTCTTCTTTCCTCCTGGAGAGAAAAGGAAGAAAGATGAACTGGTGCAAAAGTTCAGCCAAAAAGAACAGGCCTACTGTTGCAAAACAGAGTAACTTGCGCATGCGTTTTTTTGCTTCAAAAGTTGATTCTTGGACCGACAGTCCATTCGGTCCGTTCTTATTTCAAAACTGTCTTAAATAAATGTTTTAATCTTTAAATAGGCGCATTGACAAAATTATACAATGATTAAAGGCTCCGGAGCTTCCCTTCCTCGAGGAAGCTAAATACTGGATCGTAAGATTCTTTCACTATTATGATATCTCACTTCTTAAGCAGATAGTCCTAGAAAGTTTATCCAGGGGCTTGAAAAGGAGAAGAAAAAGTAATTCTGACTCCACGCGCCTACTTGAAGGCTAATGGCGAATTCGATTGGAAGCATTAGTGCGCACTGGTGCATATTAAAGCCGTTGTACACTGATTTAATTTGAGTATAAAAATGAAATGCAAATATTTCGAATTATGAAATACATATTTTACCTAATAGTACAATAAAATATACTGATTATTTCATGATTTGATCGACTTCTATGTTTATTTATAAACATTTTACGTTATTTTATGTACAACGGCTTTAATTGCACTAGTGCGCACTGAGTGCATCTAATCGAATTCGTTATAAAATTAATTAAGATGCTAATACGGCTGCGATTAGTTTATGGATGCCTTCCAACAAGCGACTTTAGTACAGCCGAGATATTATTAAAGACCGACATCCTTATGGGAGTTCCTTAATATTGAAGTGATTAAGAGTAAAAAAATTGATAATATTGTACTAATTTTATGATTTATTAGTTTAGTAGATGTGTTTATCGGTACGTGCATTTAAAACTCAATACTCGATTTTTCTTTAAAATTGTGATTTCAATGTTATCGTCAAAGTTCGATTATCAACAGAGATAATAACTGCAGAGAAAAAAATTGTAATTTTTCGGCAATATATAGGATATTATAGCTTTACAAATATGCATATTTATTTATGGAGCATTTGTGTAATAAAATATCATGAATTTAATAATGTATTAGTTAAATATTTATGTTAATAATAGCAAATTTATATCAATTGTCGATAATGTCAGCGTTCTTCGATTACCTCCGGGCCCTTGGGGCCCTTTTTATACCGCCGAAAATTTACCTAGGGTTGACGGTCTTTAATAGTATCTCGTCGGTGGTACAGCACAGAGTGATTATCTCATCCTTGTTTAACATTGGCGAACAACAAAGATGTAATGATGCACCATGTCATGTGTTGTCTCTCGTTGGAACGTTGGAAGGCACCCTATGATATCTTAAGACTGTACTTAAGACGATTTTAAATGTAAGAACTGACTGAATACTTAATCGGAATTTGGTCGAAGTCATTCGAAGAAAATTCATCTCTGTGCTCATTCATGTCTAGCCAAAAAAATGTCTCTACCTGGAGACATTCCTTTCGATAATTGACGGGATCGACCGGCTTGACTCTCGCGCGAAAAACGAGAATTCCGTTGCGCAAACTCGCTTTATCGTCATCTAGTGACGAGAAGCGGCATTCATGTCTCGCTTTTAGCAGCAAAAGTAATTTAGTGTAATTCAGGATTCACGATAATATCAGATATATTATATAACGTCGTGTGTAGATCGAGAAGCTAGGTAGAAAACTCCTCTAACCTCTTATTGGCTACGTTTACATCGTGCATTTAAGCCGCGGCCTATACGATAGATGTCCTTGTTTATCCTGTAGGTTAAACAAAGACACCTATCGTATAGGTCGCGGACTAAGCGCACGGTGTAAACGTAGCCACTATTCCCGGCAAAGCCGAACTATAGTAGAAAATTCTATCATGAGTCACGAACAATCCCGACATTATTTGCAATTCCGTTTGATCTGTCAACTGTCAACTATTCTTCTGCGATCTCTCGCAGATAGGTTATACCGGCAAAAGAATCAGTCGATTGTGCTCTTTATGTTCTCGAATATATTCATACAATTTCTATTTATTTCTCATTTCAAGAATTTGCTCTCAAACGAATTAATTAACAAAATAAAATACATTATTACACATAATACGTGTCTGTGTGTTGTGTACATATATGTGTATATATATATACAATACATACATATTGATATATACCACATACTTAAAATATATTTAAGATGAAATTAAGAGAAAACAATAGGGTTTGTGTGGCTCGATGCAAAGTGATTGCTTGTGATGAAAATCTGGCAGTAGTTTATAGCATGAGCGTCTCGTTTTTTTCTTAAAATTGTCATTTACAAAAATATAAATTTTTTTTATTTTATATATATATATTTATCTTCAATAAATACTTCCTTTATTTTGAATTGAATATTTAAATATTTTTTTTTAATATAACAAATTATGTTATCCTTCTATAATTTTCTTAGATCTGTACTCATGAATTTTGCTTTGTATATTTTATATATTAATTATTTTCAACAAATATTTTCTCTATTCTGACTTGAATATTTAAATATTTTTGATTATGAAAATATTATGTATCTTATATTTTTCTACTTATATAAATTATCTTTCTAAAATTCTTTCATAGAGCTGTACTCATCCAAAAAACATTGCTCATGTACATGACATGATAATAAACGATATGTTAGAATACACTGCTTTTGTTTACTAAAAGTTTAATATAAATATAAATACATATAATAAAAAATGACATTAATATTCTTTGTGATATTAAAAACAAGTATGCTCTTATTTTATTTTTGAATATTATATATCTCGTACAATACTAGTAACTACATTCTCGAAGGAATTGTATCATATCAAAAATAGTTTCGCTTTCATTTCCTTCATGAAACTTGTTTGAAATAAAAAACGATTGTCTTATTATATAAAATACTAATTTCAATGTTAACATAATGAAAATAGAAAAATGTATTATATAACATACTAATAACAGATAATAGATAAGGCAGTGATAACACAGTATAAGTACTGTGGTGATAATGTAATAACACGGTTTACAGCATCATATTCTCTTTCATGGCTGCGTTCAGCAGAACGTTTGTTTTGCAACTGTTGGAAGTTTCCTTCGAGCTAATTAGATCATATTTTTAGATCTAGAAGTTGGTCCTATCTCAGCGGACAATCATAAAACGGTTGCAAAACTGTTGAGTCTGCTGAACGCAGCCATTTTCACAATTCCATTTCGTTTGATGTATTCGAAACATTAGATTTCTAAGTATCCCAGGATTTAAGTTGCAAAATGTTCGACACATACAACAAAGTCACGCACTGCATTTTCGATATGGACGGTTTATTGCTCGGTAAGTATCGAGACAGATCAGATATATTTCTGACCATTCTATTCGTAATTAGTCTGTATCACGTTTTATTTTAGATACAGAACATCTGTACTCCAAGGCCTTCAACCGTATCACTAATCGTTATGGCAAAGAATTCACATGGGAACACAAGGCGCAAACGATGGGTTTCAAGACCAAAGATGTTGCCGACTATGTGGTTGAGACGTTAGAATTACCGTTAACAAAGGACGAATTTAAGGAGGAGATTGTTGGACTCTATCAGGAATTGTTTCCGCATACCAATCCCATGCCAGGTAATGCTCTATATCAAGATACATCAGACGATTCATAATTTAATTCTGATTGAATTATTAAATAACAATCTGTATAACAGGCGCCGTTAGGTTACTGAAGCACCTGAAAGAGAATAATATTCCGATTGCGTTAGCCACGAGCTCAGATCGAGAAAACTATGAATTGAAAACCAGTCGCTGGCATGACCTCTTCGAACTGTTTCATCACAAAGTGCTCGGGGGTTCGGATCCCGAAGTCGTACACGGAAAACCGGAACCTGACATATTTTTCATAGCTGCCAAGCGTTTTCCTGACAATCCAGATCCTTCGAAGGTAACGTGACAATCTGGATCCGTCGAAGAGACGGTCATTTAATTGTCAAATATAGCAACTGTGAAATATTTTTTATTAGGTTTCATTCGAACTATATTTAAAGACCAAAAGTGATTAAAATCTAAGAGTCAATTAATTATCTTAGTCCAAGATTATCAATTTCTTTTTAGTGTCTGGTTTTTGAGGATGCGCCAAATGGCGTGAAAGCGGCACTTCATGCTGGAATGCAGGTTGTTATGGTGCCGGACCCGATGCTTCCCAAACGTTATACGACCGAAGCGACCCTAGTATTAGATAGTCTCGAGAAGTTTGAACCGGAAAAGTTTGGATTACCTCCATATGCGGCGATGTAATACATTTTTTCTAAATTTACCACGTATACAGATTCGTGAAAGAGACGTACATGCACGGAATTATCTCGTAAAGGACAATTTAATTTGTAAGATTTTCTTAGACGCAGTTTTTTTTATTTCTATCTTATTTTTTAGTTGATCGGTACGTTTCTCCTTTAAATTTCCTTATCTGTATCGTCGGATAGATCCCCCAGTACATCGAAATCCTCCCGCGTACCACTGACAAACATTCCCGCAGAATTAGCACTACTGAATATTCCTGTGATATTTACACATGAAAATTTATTTCGTTTCAATTGCCTGTCAATTGCTTCTTTTAATGTGTTATATGCAGCTATCATATCCCGTGAACATTGAGACAGTAGATCTGTAAAAAAAATCGAAAAGCCCAATTCTTACGTTTTTCCAGATATTATAACGTAAAATGCGATAAAAGATTTATTACGTTTGTAAGCCGGTTGAGTAATGTCGAACATTTTATGATAATAGTATAATTGATTGTACAGATCTGTCCCAGAATACTGGAAAAAAAAAACGTACAAAAAAGTGTATATTAATATTATACAGCCTCAAAGTAAATAAATATAAAAATATATGAAATTGATTCAATAAACTTACAACTCGATTCATAGAAACGTCCTTGCACACTGAACAATCTGGAAATTTCTTCACGAAATCCAACGGCAGTCGTCTCGTTCTGTTGGAACAAAGTGGATTTTCGCATTCCAACCAACCACTGTAGTACTTGCTAATTGCTTTTCTCATGGCAAGTTGAACTACATTTTGTATCACATTTGCGTATTTCCAAGGTGGTAATTTACAGTCCTGATTAGGGCACATGCTAAGTGATAACTGTCGACCAGAATGCTGCAGAAAATAACATATATAAATATCTAACAATATAATTCTCATTAAAAATATCAATTTAAAAGATACGATATATATTATAGAATAATCTTGAAATTATATAAAATACAAAGAATCATATATAATGAAGAAAGACACACTTACAAATTCTGTAACAGTATCCTTAATAATAATTTCTGCACTACATCGTTCATTTTTGCATTTAAATGTCAAAGGAAGACAATTGTTGAACCTGTCATCATTAAGAGCTAGCGGTAAATTCAGGATTGCCTCGCAAGCTATCGTCTTAGGTTTATAAACAAATTGTAAACCTGATGAACAAATTGACATGTAAAATATAATGCATTATTTCATTTCTACAATTTACAAAAACTCTGAAATACCTAAATTGTTGGCTAAGAAAACGTCGTCGATACCCTCGATTGGCTCACAAATTCGTAACACTACAGGGAATATTTGACTTAGCAGATAATAATTGACATCCACTTTTAATTTCTCATTATTTTTTACTTCGTCAATGTGATACGCCCGTTCCGTCGCACTCGCACTGGTCCCATCCTAATGTTAAAATCATCTTTTTTCATTTTTGTACCTCTTTATCGCTTTTCATTTCTATAATTTATTCAGAAAATTTGCTAATTAAAATTGAAAATGAAAAGAAACCTCGCATATAATATATGGTAAGGTGTCACCGGCTTTCCACATCCGACCACCCGCTTTGTTTAGTCTAAGTGCTACCATAACGTGAGACAATTGCTTTTTATCTGGATACGCATCCGGATTTTTCGACAATTGTTTAGTAATAACAAATGACGACAGTGGCGCCGTTCCTTCCTTTACATTTTTCGCAACATTTTGCAAAATCTGCACAACTTGTTCCAAACGCGTTTCGCTTGATTGATCACAGAGAAGTATATCCAAAATTTTTCTAAAAGAACAAATAATTCAAGTAAATTTGAATGAAATTAATCTCTGAAAATATCATCGAGTGTATTTGCTAACTTTCCAGTGTCGCAAGCCAATGGACACCAATCTCTTCTAACGATATCCAAACCCTTGTGTTCCTGCGTCAATTGTATTTGACCATTTGATAATTTCGACATCGTAACGGCAGCGTATTTCTTTTTTTGTAATAGCAATAGATATCGGAATACTCCGTCGATATCTAATTCGACTTTCTTGTATCGGTTGTTGACTTCGCGCTTAATCTAAAAAATATTTAACTCTATAGTATTGCTAATGATATCTCTGCATAATGTAAATGCAAAATGTATTACGAATTATAGTACAAAATTATACGATGGAATATCTTTCTCACTTTTTGGCCGATCAAAGAAACGTCGTCGTATTCCAAAATATTGGTGTTTATCATTAAAGAATCGGTGTCGCCATAAATTACTTCGTACTGCAGTTTCTCAACTAAGTGCTTCGTATCCTCCAGAATCTCCCGACCCTTGGCTGAAGAATCGTTAATACTTTACATTATCAACATGTATTTTAAATTTCTATTGCGTATCTTACCTGTTATCAAAGCGGCGAGACCTTTAGCATAAAATCGACAATGCGTCGCTCCCAAACATCCATACATAGAATTAGCCGTGAGCTTCAATGCCATTTGTCTGATATGATAATCCATTTTCTGTGCTGGTGATAGATTCTTTTGCGTTTTCATAAGCTGTTTGATCTGTTGTCTGCTTTTGACTAATTTGTGAATCTCTGTCGGAACCACACCTGGCTCCAGATTCGACTCAGGAATAGTTAATTGCTGCACCGTGAAAATTTTAATATAATTAATTAATTTAATAAAAACGTTTTAGTATATAAATATTTACTACTCGATGTTTGAATGTGAAAAAAATTACCTCGACATCAGCATATGCCGCACCGGGCACGGTGGTAAAACACAAATTGTATTCTTGTATAATGCTCGGATATAGGGAATTGAAGTCCATCAGAAGTACCAGTTTGTCGTAAAAACCTTTCTTTGGATCAAGTACGAGGCCTCCAGTGTACGCCGCAGCTTTCCTACGCGGACCATCTAGTAAACATCTGGCATTAGTATACCAGTATAAATAATAATTTCGTAATAATAATGTACAAAAATATATAAAGATCTCACCATTGTCTTGCTTCTTAAAATATTTCCTATATTCATTCAATTATTAATCAAAAAACTAATTGTAATTAATATTATATTTTATTAAGAACAAAAAATATTAAAATGTACCTGCTAAACAAGTAATTTGAAGTGCGAGTGGTATAACATTGAGATCCATCACTATGGTTATAATGTAGTTCGCTTCTTTTAATGTCACATGCATTAAATTTAACACTTTATCCGCTGTATTGAAAAATAATGAAGTTTCTGCGGGCGCGATTTCTTTATATTCGTGTTCCTTCGTCTTTAATACCTAAATATTTGTCAAAATTAATTGTTTGATCGTATGAACAATACAGTATCAATGTGCCGAATGACTTACTGCGCTGCAAAGTGATTGCAGATCATAACTCCTGACTTTTAAGTTCAATTCTTTTGCTGAAACTTGTATATCACAAATTGGACGACCGACAAACGCTTGATTAAGGATTATTTTTCCCTGTATAAATATTACTCATCTTGGTTAAAAAAACTATCTTTATATGTTCATATATGCCAGTTACATAAACATAATTTTAATATATTACGTAAATATAATATATTAATTGTATTATTTTAACTTCAATTTATTGAAAAAATGATAAGATATATTTTACCTTAAGTAAGGGAGGAGTCAATGATTTTAATCTTCCCATTCTGTTCCAATTAGACACTTTTAATGTAAACATTCTCTGCATTAAAACATCGAACTGAAATGCACAATCGTAACCTATTATTAAATCAGGATCCACTTTCTGCATTAAAGTTAACAGTTCTTCAAGTAAATCGCTTTCAGTTTCACATTTTATTATTTCGGTATTCGGAACTTTCAGGAATGCATCACGAATTTGCCGCGGCCACGGGATATCTCGTGGACGTGTGACAACTGTAAAAAGTTGCAAATTAATATTTAGCCTTTATTAATGTCTTGATAGAACGAATGAAGAAACATCTACGATTTAAAGATAAATGGATGTCTTATACTTTCTGTCGAGGCTAATAAAAATCTTTTTTTTTCTGTATTTAAATTACAAAATAACATTAACATTCTAAAATATTATTAAACTTAATTATTAAAGAAAACGAAGGAAACAATTAGTGAATAATGCAATGTAAAAGTAAACTTACAACAAAATTGACGTTCATAAGGCGACTTTGGTGGTTCCTTATCGACATTGTACTTATGATGAATTAATACAACAACCATCACTACTTCGTTCTGCAACTTCGCGTTCAAAGACATCCTCACATTTATAGTCGCTATCACCATTGGGGGCTTAGCTTTCTCTTGGGAACACAGCGATATATTGTTCATGTCTGAAGTAACCACCTGTTGTATTTTTATAGTATAAAATAAATATATCGAATTTATTTTTTATTGTTGTAACATACATGTGTTTACATACAATCTGTGGGCACCAAGCAAATCGCCCTGGAGTGGGTGATATATTCTTAATGTCTAACCAGCAAGGTCCCTTAATTTTTCGTTCTATAAGCAATAGCTCTAATGCATTCACTGTTGTGCCAAAGACGCGTTCTATTGCCGGACCCGAGTAATTCGAATCGATTGCTGGATAGCGTGCGTTATATCTGACTTCCAAGTAATCTGAAGTTTTCGGTGTACCCTCCTTTTCGAAGGAATAATGCTTTTTCACTTCTTTGCAATTGAACTCCATTATACGCATCTTATTGGCGTACTCATCGAACTCTTTATACACATCCTCTATGGTAGTTAATTGCGATTCAGTGTCTTTTATCTGCAATTCACAAACCGTAAAAAAAGTATTCGTTAGTAATAATTTAATAATTACAAAATACTGGTATATCTAGATATTAAATAAGACAAGAAACAAAAATACAACATTGAAAAATATACGTACATATTTTCTGGGCAAGAGATATATTCTCCTTGGTATACAATGCACCATAATACAACATGAACAGTATGTATCATGGCTAGATACATAAGTCTTGCCGAAGAGATACACAGTTCCAGGATTTTTATAAGGATTTTCATATGCATCCAGATAGTAGAACCTAAATACTTCTTCCTCATCTTTTGTCTTGACTAGTTGTGGCACTACTTCTGTTAAGTCAACGGCATTACCGATTTTCATACTTTTGACAGAAGTTTTATGAGGAGGAGCAGGAGTCTTTACATCTATTTCATTTTTTTGAGATTTAACGTTATTTATCGACGATGAAAAGTCAGTATCCATACTTCCATCATCAAAATCTATTGTGGATAGCTGCAATATATTTTATATGTAGCTTCACTTTAATATAAATAATAAAATAAGATAATAAAACAAAATAACTCACATCTTCAACACATTCACTAAGATCCACTATAGGAGTATTTTCTTCCTCAATAATCTGACTTGGATTTTGTTCATTAGATTCTGATTTTTTTGTGCTTTGATCTTCCGGGTTTGAATTTTCTTCAACTTTTGAACAATTATTTAACTCTGATGGTTTACTTGTACTCTTCTGTGGCACATCAAATAATGCCATATCATCTTCATCCTCAATTATCTGACTTTCACTTTGTACAGTATTATCAAAATTTGACACAATTGTCGCTGGTTTTTCAGATATTATTTTATCAGCTTGTTTTTGGTTTATAGATGAGGCCTGATATGTTTGTCTATAATAAATGTGTATGCAGATCTATAATTAAGTTTTACAAAGTATAAAATAACACATAGTATAAACAGAATTCATTAACTTACGTAATGTTAGAATGAACTGTATGACAAAATTTATTTCTGCTGCTTCCTGGTTTAGGACTATTTGTTGTCTTTTTAGCAGTAGAAATCTCACTGAGCAATTCTCCCAAAATATCATCATCTTTAATCTGAACTACATTAGCATCTTTCTTAGAAGGCATATTCCTAATCATATTTTGAATATCTCCTTTCTTCTTGTTCTCTTCTTTCTTCCTTTTTCTAGGGCCAGCCATGCTATTCCTCTGTTTTCTCGCTTCTCGAATACTTTCTTCATCCAGATCATCATCAAAAATTTCCCTTCCATCTTCGACATAACCGCTTTCCCCTTCAATATTTTATTTCAAGTTTAATATATACATTTTTATATCTACATCTTTTTATATCTCTTTGAGGTAGAAATTTAGATATATTTCATAAAATATTTTTCAAGCATGTCACTTTTTCAATGTAATGTGTTTAAATCTGTTTGGATGATGAAATATTTTTTAGTAATTGCTAAAATAATATAGAATCTTTACTACCATCATCAACTATCCAATCGTCTCGTTGGCGTTTTAAAACAGTATTACTGTATTCCTTCTCATCTACCTCGTCATAAATATTTTCTAACTCTTCCACCTCATACTTGCGCTTGCTACCACTTCGAACTTCTTTCAATCTTTCCAAAGCTGAGAGTCTGCCAGTCTTATCAATCTTCTGACGCCTAGACCTGCCAGACGTAGATGCTAAAACATTATTCAGTAAAGTAAAAGTGCAGTAGTTATTTTAATTACATATGACATGATGAATGTGATATAATGCAATACATCCTACTGTTCTATGCGATAGATCAGTTCTATGGAAGAACTATTCTTTCAACTATAAAAATATTACCAGCTACTAACATCAAGAACATACATTATAAATTTGAAGTCTGTTTTCTGAAATAGTATATACTTTTGGAATTTGAACTAAATTTGAAATAAATATGTTTGAGGAAACGATATTTGGCGAAAGCGAAAAAGAGATTTGTAGTGCAGTCTAGTGCAGGAATAAAAATAGACCTACATGTAAACAAAAGGTATGGCAAAGATCCGGAAGAACATTCAGCGACATTCACGAGTGTACGTAGTAACACACTTATCGTGATGCTCAAAAGTTATATTCGGTGGTACTTACCTTGCGAATCATCCATTATATTTATATTCTTCTCGTAAAACGCGTTTGTCAATACGAGCACTTACGCGGCATTTCACTTCGTGATAATCGTTTTGGCGGGAAATAAATCTCCCAGCGAGAGAAATATCGCGATATCTCGAGACATTCGATTTAATTCGAGAAGAGTAGGATATTTGGAAAATATAAAATAATTTAACATACATGTATTTACAATACTTACAGATGACATTTTTCATCTTTTCAATGCTCCTTTTAGTTGAATTTCAATATTATTTTTAATTGCTAGTGATCACTGGTGATTGACAGTACGAAAAATTTCCGTTTCCGAAAAATATTCCCCATGGGAAGCCAGGCTACTTAAAATCGGAACGGAACGATGTTGATTGGTTGCCCCTACCACTTCACCTTTCCGATTCCGTGTTCCGATTCCGTTTTCCATGCCCATGGAACAACACCCTAAGGATGTCGTCCCATGTACACGGAATCGGAACGACGGAACGGATTTCTTACTAGAAAATTTGAGATCACTACAATTCCGTTCCGTAAGAAGTTTCTCTACCCGTCCCATGTAGCCGGAACGGAATGAAAATGGACGGAATGTCGCCTCGGTCGCAAGTTAATTTGCCTAATTTAATCGATATTTCGTTATTTTAATGCGACTAAAGCAGTAATATGCATAATTTGTGCAATTATCTTATTTATAACATTACTTTGAATACTTAAAAATACTGAATTATAAGAGTGAGATATATTATGTTACCAAAATTTCATTGCGTTCCGGTTACATGGGATGGGTAGAGAAACTTCTTACGGAACGGAATTGTAGTGATCTTAAATTTTCTAGTAAGAAATCCGTTCCGTCGTTCCGATTCCGTGTACATGGGACGGCA